TTTCAAATATTAAAATCTAAGCACACACAGACATACCCATACAGACAGTAAATAGTTCTGTGTGCAACAGTACAAGAGTCTCTTGTGCAGTCTATTGGAGTGGCTATGTGGATCAAATCGGCTTCAAAAACCCAGTTAATGTAAGCATGGTTCCCATGGAAACCATATCCCTGTGCATGAGTGTAGCAATGGTAAAAGCACCACATCCAAAAAAACTGTGTCAAGCAGCAAATGTATTTGAGTAGCACTTTAGTATCTTGCTTATATGTTGGTGGAGATGAGCATCATATTCTGGTTGTAGTTAACCACAATATGCTGAGAAACTCAATTTGTGAGCGCAGGTGTGCAGCTTAAGTTATGTTGATTTAAATCTGCAAAAAAACACATTAGCCTATGTCACAATAGTTTACATGCTGGAATAAAAATAAAAATAGTGATGCAGTATCTTTACCCTGATCCTTCATTGCTGGTGACTACATGGAGCAAAATACAGTTAATAACCGTAGTGGAGGATGTGGGTGAGTCTAAATGTTAATACCAGAATGAACCACAAGCAACCTGGATATGGTTATAAATTATAATCATGTATAAAGCGGGCTAAATTGCTGTATTACTATGTTTTATGTATAAGTTATAGAATATCCTAATTATGACCAAAAATAAGAACAATACTCAAAGCCATGTCAAAAGTGTGCATGAAAATATTTGTATCTGTGAAGCTACTCAGCCCTTGTTGGCTTTGAGCACTATATTTGAATTTAAAATGAAGAGCTTAAAATTCACACACACATCTGTGGCTTTTAAGAGGGTTAATGTAGACTATTTGTTGGCCTGTGATTTTGTGTCCTCTCCAGTGGTTTACTAATAGGCTAGCCGTTTCCAGTCTTTATGCTAAGCTAAGCGGCTGCTGGCTCCAGTTACATTTTGAACATAAAGGCATGAGAGCAGCATTAATCTTCCCATCTAACTCTCTGAAAATTAATATCAACATCCCTTGAAAACGTTGAGGATGGAAAGATGTGACCACGTGTTGGCGTTTCATTGTAATGGTGATACTTTGACTACAGCTTTATAATCCCCTCTACGCTGATCTCCACATTTTCCACTTAACATGGTGTGATGCCGTCCACCAGCACAGCATGAGTTCCTCCAAACTAAATTGTTTTTATGTTATACAGGCAGAGTAAATCCCATAAACTGGTCTTAATTATTCTCTGGAGACACTGAAATGTATAAATGGGAGTCCTTCCAACTACCACAGAAAATAATCACTATGTGGGAAGAAAGCTGAGGTGCTTAAAAACCCATCAATTCAAAGAGAGTGAGTCAAATGTTCAAATGGTGAGAAACCACGGAGCTGCGTGCAGAGAAAACGCTCCCACGGCTCAGAAACTGCTGCTGGTGATATGTGGAGACATTTTGCGAGTACGTCACAGATTATGATCACATGTCAGCAGCCAGAGAAACAGATGTCCACATGTGGCCGCAGATCAAGCCGTTAATCTGAGTGATAAATACACAGTATGTACCTTGGTCCAGTCTGTGAAGGAGGGTCATCTTAGCCAGCTGCACCTCGGGCCCCAGGTGGTCCAGGACCTGCCTGCACCACTGCAGAGGGCTGAGGACACTCTCACCCTGAAGCCTGGATTTGGGAATCACATACAGCCTGCAACACACAGCACAACCCACAAATTAGTCCTGAGAGCTTTACAGCCCATATTGTTACTGTACAGAGAGCTGAAGTTAAATAAACTGGAAGCTGCTTGACTGTGTATCTTGGAAGATCTGGAGGGACCTGTTTTACAGTGGCGATATTTCATAAATGAAAGCAAAACATGACTTTGCAAAGGCTGTGTAAAGGGAATTATTTTTATAGAACCCAAATGGCAATACACTGTTAAAGTTCCCACAAAAAGCAATTCCCTTTTACTAGCTACAATATAAACTATGTCTATGACACCAACAGTACTGTTTAATAAAATTCAAGTGGTGACAGCTTCACTCGATGCAGTGATATAGGATGTGAGTACGTGACCGCTACAGTGAGACACAGGATTATAGTATATTTTCTCACTGTGGGTTGTAGATACTGGTAGGCCTGAAACCATTAGTCAATTTGTAAATAAGAGAATCAATACAGGATTAATAGTCATTCATTGTTGACCACAAAAACCAAATATTATCTGCTTTCAGCTTCTAAATTATGTGAATTTCCGGCTTTTCTTTATCATAACTGACTTTGATTTGACAAGAGTGGGGTTTGGGATGAAAAGAATAATACATTGAAAAAGCCATCTTGACATTCTAATAGGAAATGTTCACTATTTCACTTATAATTAATATATTAATCACGATTTTTTGGAGATTACTGAAAGTAATTGTCTTTCCATAAATTGCATCCCACTGTACCTTTGCCAGAACTAACACAAAATAAATGGAGTTTATAACCTGGAAACTGGATACCTATTTTATCAGCTAATTGCTATAAGTGGAATGAATCTGACCACTTAAGAAAGCGGGCAAAACAAGCTTTACAATTCTGAATTTAGCCTACAGGACTGTAAAATAATCAAGAAACAAGATATATGAATACAATTGGCTGGAGGTTAGGTTGGTTGTAAAAAAAAATGATGTGTCACTTACAACCGAAACAGAAATGAACTTTCAGTCAGCAAATAGGCCATGGTTACATGCCTAACCCTTGAGGGTCAGTGATATTAAATGGAGTGAGTATATTACGCTGGTGCTACATTCAGCGTTGTGCTACATTTTCCACATCATCACATCAGATATGAAAAGCTGGGGACGGTTCAGTAGTCAGCATGTCAGTGTGTGAACTACCTAAGTCAGCAGAGCAGATATAGTGCTTCAAAGTAGTTCAGCCTGGAGCCAAACACTGCACACAGAGCTGTTGGATCACAGGCTGAAGGGAGGCATTGTTTCTAATTTCATCCCAGTGCTTTCTTATTTTGAAAAGATACCCATACTGCACGCACAGTGCATTCTGGGATGCCCACAGCTTGTCTCAAATCTGTTTTTGTTCTTTATCCTCCTGCACAAACTGAGTCTGTTCGCTGGTGTCTGCAAGTCTATTCCAGGAGGACATGGATCAATAATGTGATCAATAAGAGTATGTCAGGGTAGAATTACACATTAATTCACAAAATTGTGGCTAGTTGACAATCCTGTGGCCTATTAAGCAGAGCAAATGAAACACAACACTGATTTTTTTTCACCGCAAATGCAGATATAAATGTACAATATAGTGGTAGATATGAACAGATTATAATTACCAGCTTTCAGGCTCTACAATAGGGAGCACGGTGTTGAGATCCAAAATATCAACCTCATCCAAAACGGTGGCTCCAGGAGCGACGCTGTCCTCCTCAGCGGCGTCAGGAGACACAGAGCTCGGCTGAAAATACGCGATCGGCTCCTCCGGTGAACCGAGGGCTCCGAGGGCACACGAATGAGACTGTGTCGGACTCGGGATGCCATATTTACAGGATAAATTGTCACTTGAACACGCTGTACCCCCATGCAGACACGACAACGAGGTCTGGAGATGAGGGCCGATGGAGCAATTGTTTACAGCGTTCGCTCGTGTCCGCAATTGTTCGTTTTGCTTCTCCAATTTTCGGACTAATTCCTGCAGCTTTACCACCTCCAGCTCCGCGTTACTGATTTTATTGTTGCCATTGACGTCTGCCATCATCTGGGGGTTTAAGACCTCTGCTTCCATCTGGTAAAAAGCACATTGAGAGGGACAGAAAAAGCACGGCCTGCCTGCAGAGGGTCCTATTCAATTCAGAGAGGGTGTCCAGATTCCCCCTGTTTAAAGCTACTACTGCACACACACACTCACACACTCACACACACTGATGCTGCTGCTGCTGGGATGATGCACAGACTCCCTCTGATTGGTCAGCAGCTCGGAGTTTCACTCCCATCACACCACTGCTGAGGAAATATTTATTATGGACAAAAATATATAAATAGTTAAATACTTGAGTTTGTGATTGGTTGAAGAGATATGTGCAGTGCCATTTTAGATATAATACTGAATATACTACTACTACTTCTACTACCACTACAAATACTAATAGTGATCGTTTTATTATTTAATCACTTTTTGGTGCAATTTGTTACCAGTTCCTAAAAAATAAAAATATGAAACAAAAAAAGGCTTCAGTGTATTTGAAGAAAAGCCAATTTGCATCTGATATAATACACATTATCACCACTTCCTTGAAACCAACTTAATATTCTTTCACATAGTTTGATTTTGGACATGACCTGAGTATAATTTAAGGTCAAATGAGGGCTACATCTGTATTGAAAAGGTTCAACCATGTGTTATTAAGTGGTGACGAAACTTCTTCATGAATACAAAGGAATAATTTCAGCAAATCTGTGACAAGGTTATCATGTAATTAAGGAAAGAACAAAAGAGAAGAAACTGACAGAGGACTGCTAGGAATAGGCTACTGTACGTAAGGTCATGGTGAATATAGCAAGGTTATTGATAATGTATGTCAATTGCTTCCATGTTTGTTTCATTTCTGGTATGGAGTAACTCAAATATAAAAAAATAATAAAATCCAGTAGAAATAGTTCTGTCTTTAGCTGTTAAATGTACATTAAGATATGATAGCCTTCATATAAAATACATTCAAGAAAGAGTATACATTTTGTACAGTACTAAAAAGTATTTCTATTAGGGGAACGACAATCAATTAAAATGAATTATACATTGTACTTTATTAGTATAAAGCAATTACCAATTCAATCATTCCTTTAGAATTCTAATTTAATTAGTACAAATTATTAATTGAAATATCTCAATACTTCCATTTCAGTACACTTTATGATAAACTTCATTATAAGTAAATAAACACCTCAGATTGCCATTCTTCAAAAGGCATATAAAGAATAAAAGAGTAAATATTGATATGAACAACAAACAGGGCAGCTAAACAACAAAGTCGTTGAGACATTACTAGACAAAGCTATATTGATTGTCTTTATTGCACACAGAAAAATCCCCCGGCCCTAAATATTGCATTATCTTATTTCATGTTTCACACAAGAGTCTGCTTAAAGGCTGCAGAGAATTTAAATTTGTGAAAGTAGTAGATACAGAGGCAGCAATATCACAATGTCAACAATATAGTAACAGCTAGCTGCAAGTGTATGTTACTAAAAAAAGGTATATTCAATATGTAACTGTCATTTGTCAAAACACCAAGATAAAGCTTTTATCAGCTTGTAAAAACTAAAAACACAAGATCCCACATCACCAAAAAGGTATTGATTAACAGCAATATGTTTTTCTCTTTAAATCATAGATGCTTCATCTCCAGGGAAGGCTTAGGGGGAAATTCAGCGACGCCATTTTTCTGTAGAGTCAAAAAAATAAAATAACGTTTAATTCAAAATTAAATCAAGAAAAACAAAAAAAAAAAACACATATTTTTCATTTATGTCCATTAATTCACACTTATATTTATGCATTAATTTTTTACCTCTGGTGACATCGAAGCAATTTTCACAGTGCACCATGTGTTTGTAGATCCACATGCTGTCCCCAGCTTTCATATAGCCCATATTGCTGTTACACACCTCGCACTGCCAAAACACACACACACTCATGATTAAATACACACACGCTAAGCAGTCAGCTGCACAATACCTGTTAGCAGAGAAGAACACTTACTCATGCATTGTAAGTATCATTCTGCTGTACTTTACCTAAGTATTCCCATTTGAAGCTGATTTAAAATCCCCTAAACCTCAGAAGGAGAATACTGTGTCTCATACTCCGAAACATTACCAGCTGTAGATGCTTTTATGTTGCAAATTAAACCCCTACAGGTGTTTCCAATTACTCGCTGATTAGGCTGCTTGGCAGTTGGGAGGAACAATGCAGGTAATTACCACAAACTCTACTTCACAGAAGAAGTAGGAATGTATTTATTTTACAGTATGAATTGCAACTCATACAGCATCTAAATACTTCTTCAAACACTGATATTTCTCATTTTAATGGAATGTTATTCTACTCACTTTAAAGCAGGTGGTGTGGCAGTTGATCTTCATGTCATCCAGGACCATCTTGGCGTCACCAGTGAAGGGCTTACGGCAGTAGCTGCACAGGTCTTTCTCAAGCACCGTTCTATTGAAAAAATCATCATATATTTAAATAAAGCTGTTGACCTTGGATATATATATGTCTCTGTCTTTGACCTATATATATGGTCTTAAAGATGTTTTTTTCCTCTAGTGCCACCAGCAGATTTATATCTTTGCACAAAAATGTAGTAACATTACAATTAGCATAATAGGGACCCTTTAAGACTATGCCTTACATAATACATTCCACCCATCACCATGTAGCATTAAGCGTCTTTGAGCATTAGGAAAAGTGCTATAAAAATCCCATGTATTTGTATTATTATCATTGTGAGCATGTTAGCATTGTGACATTTTGCTCATAGCACCACTCATAGCACCACTGTGCCTACATACAGCCTTGCAGGGCTATTAGTACATTTGTTCACTATTAGTCTGTTTTTTTTTTTGTGGACCTGCTGTTTCCAAGGTCTACAAATAATGCACTTCCTACCTCTCAGGAGCTGCATACACACTCTTTACGGAGGATGAGTAAAGGACTGAATCTGTCACGTCATCTGACCTGCTGTGAGAGTACAGTAACACCAATATCAGTTTCCATAACAGTCTTGCTTTACTCCCATATCATGTTTGTACAACAATATTAAACATGTTTAATTTCATGAAATACCTGCTGCTCCTGTATGTTTTGGAGGAGTAGGAGGTTGGACTGGAGATACTGGTGTACTCATAACTGTAGGAAAACAAAATGAACCATAGATAAGTCATATTTCTAACTCACTGTACATGCAGAGATAGTGATAGTTTTCTCTGCTTCCTACCTGGAGTTTGGTTTGGAGTAAGAGAAGGTTTTGTCGCTGATGTTGTCGTCACTGTGTGTGCAAACACAGAACAGATAAGGGATGTCATAAAGACTGCAGCCACATTTCATCTGGTTGTATAGCATAGGCAAACCCTGCAACGGTTGTGTGTGTGGGTGTGAGAGATGTCGATAATGGTTTAATGATTACCTGGGTGTGCTGCTGATGGTGTAGGAGGAGGTGCGGGTGGAGGGAAGATCATCAGTGTACGAGCTGTAGCTGTGTGTCCAAGAGGAATATGAATGAGTTGCAAATGGTACATATTTCTTTATCTTGTACAAATTATCTTTATAATTTTATTAAAATGTAAATATTATACTATTTGTTCTAATGTAATCTCTTTCAATAAACCTTGTTACTTCTTGACCTATTAATTAATGACATTTACATCAGACCCAGCTGTACTTTGTCTTGATGTTCAATAGCAAAACAACAATAAATTATGATTTCTTGATGTGTATAAACAGGAAAACTTACACATACCATGATCGCTGACATAAACTAAAATGTCATGTTTCTATAAAGGACATGAAATCAATGGATACTCTGATATTGCTGCTAGTTTATTTGCACATAGAAGAATGTAAATGCTAATTTCTACTTATTAGCAATTACATTAAATGTTACAAAAAACATTAACAGGATTGAAATATTGTTTGCTCTTTTTTTTTTGCATTTTTTCGCATTTTTTCGAAAGTAGTCTATTTGAATTGCCTTTTTTTCAGACATTGTAAATGTAAAATGGGATTGAGTAATTAGTATTATTAGATATAACAACTAGGATATTTTTATTTATTTATTGAAAACTACATATAATACACAAAACGATCTAATCTGGTTTGGTTTACAACCAATCTTAAAATACACATAGTATTTCCTCTGTAAATATAGACACATTTCTTCATATGGCATCAACCCCCATTTTATCTCAGTCAGCATGTTTACCTGGAGGTCCTGTGGGTGGAGGATGGCAAAGAGACTGGGCTTGAGACTCTAAATGCATAAAACACAATGTCAGAAGAAACCAGGATAACTTAATGGAACAAGTGAATAACCATTGCATTACTTCTATTATTCAAATCCAGCACTCACCCTCTGCTGCTCTCAATTGTGATGATCTCTCTCTTTGAGATGCTGCTGCTGCTGCTGCTGACACAATGACAATGCAATTATTTCAATGACATGATAAATAAATGGTTGTGTTTTGTAAAAAGGTTATTCACTGAGGCATCTCACCTGCAGAAGAAGACAGACTGGATGCATTTGTGATGGATCTAGGCAAGAGGGTGTCATACAGGTCATCCTCGGCACTGTAGAGAAAGAAAAAAACACAAATATATGAGTTTGAAATCCTTTTTTTAATTTTAAAAATAAAAAGATATTGAAGGAGGTTGATCTTACGAGGCGGAACTCCTTGTCGTGGTGGTAGCTTTAGTATCATTTCTGAAAAAAAAGACAAATTATTGTTATCAGACTGACTGGTATTTATTGTTATAGTCAGTTTGTTAAAGCTGTGCTGCAGTTACTCACCCATTGCTGCTGCTTCTCATTGTCACATACTCAGTGCTGGAGATAGTTCTTTTGCTGTAAAGAGGAAAAAAACCCTCCATTACAATATATCGCTTTTGAATATCTCATATTTTTCCTTTACTTGTTATCCACATAATTCATTTTCTAGTTTTATTTTGGGAATATTACCTGTCTGAGGATGAGTAATCATCCTTGATCTTCGAGGGGACGAGTGTGTCAAACAGATGTCCTCAGCACTGCACAGAAATACAGGTTAAGTTGTAGGTGATGTAAAAATGTAAGCATATTAATTGGAAAATGGGAGCTTTACACCTCTTTTATTTTGTAAGAGAAATATCCTGTTCTATTTTCTTGTAAAATGTACTTAGTCTTACTTTAATACAAAAATATGGAAGGGTAATATTACCTAAAAATGAATTATTATATCTATCTATTCTTATCTTCGCTCTAAGGCACAACGACACACTGAAAGGGGAACAGGCATTGCAAGACCACACTGTACACTCACACCATTCACACGCCCACTGACCATCTGGGCCTCAAATAAGCCTTCGTGTCTCATGTGCTGCATGGAGCTAAATCTGTATTATGTATAGGCTCACTGCAATACAGTATATCCCTATAGAGGTCATGGTTTTGAAGCATAGGGCTAACATGTGTCTATGTTCTACTTTTCGTCAACAAATCCCATGAAACAGAGTACTTTATGACTTTTCTACCCTGTCTTTGGCACTCAACCCCTAGTCCATTTGTTCCAATTGAAGATGTAAATATATTTTTAATTTATTAGAAAGTCTCAGTCATTTTCCTTTACCTGTAGGTTTAGAAGACATACTCAAATGGAACAAATGGTGCATTGTGCTGTTTTCTAAGAGGAAAACATTTTTATTTTTTCATTTTTACAGTTTCTTCTGACTAACTTGAATATAAAGTTACCAAAAAATACACAGCCTCCCCTGCATTGTACACACTATGGTTTGAAACTCACTCAGTGTCAGCGCTGCTTCTCACTGTCACAGTCTCAACCGTGGAGGACAGTCTTTCTGCTGTAAAGAAAAAAAACAAGTATGTAGTTACTGAAGGCCTGGCGTCATTATCAACGTGATTTATTTTCTAGGTTTTATGCATGAAAATATCACCTGTCTGTGGGTGAGTTAATGTCCTTGATCTTCGAGGGGATGAGTGTGTCAAAAGCTTGTCCTCAGCACTGTACAGAAATACAGTTTAAGTTATAAGTGATGTCAAGATTTAAATTATATTATGATTTAATAATACGTTTTTTACGAGTGTCCATTATGTGCCAACATCTTACTCGTTGCTGCTGCTAATGGTTCTTTCAGTCACTCTGGTTGTCTTTGTTGGTGAGTAGCTTGAGTATAGTGTCCTGTGTGAAAATATATTTCATTTGCTCAAGTATTGTAGTTGAGTTCAAGTTTGAGTTTGTACTTTACTTGTGCATTTCTACAAATGTTATACATTAACTAAAGATAGCTATTTATCTGAAAACTACAGTTACTTGTGACCTTTTAGATGAATTCACATTAAAACATTGGATACATTTATAAAAGACAACACATTGTCAAAGATTGAATGAGTGATACCTAGGAATTTGGACATTTAGAGGGCCCAAACGGATAAGATGATTATATATTTCACCACATTTACCAAAACATAGAGAAGAGTCAATAGATGAAAAACATGTGTGTAGCAGTTGATACTTAGTCATCTTTTTGTTAACCTAAGAATATGATTATGAGTACTTAGACCACCATTGATTATATTGAAGTATATTTTTACCCTTTGCTTGTATTCTTGACCCTCTCACTGAATGTCTCAGTCATGGTGGGACTCTTAAGCACAGGGGATCTGGAAGAAAAAACCGGAGTTGTCATAAACAGACACAGAATCAGTGTGTGATAAGTTGAAACAATCTTAATGATTTTTGATTCCCTACTTAAGACTCTGGGTGGTGGTTAAGGTGGTCTCAGTGGTTGTGCCATCCTTGCTGACCGAGGAGGTCCTTGAGCTTAAGGTGGAGAGAAATAAAAAACAAATTAACAAATACTCAGGTAATCTTTCCTGTGGTTTGGTTAGTAGCAAGTGTTAGTACCTTGTATTAGGTTTCCCTATGACAGTTTTGGATGTAGTAGTTCTGTTGTTGATATGATACACAAAATTACAAATAATGTACTCTGTCGTTGCTGCTTTTTGAATAGACTGAAGCTTACATACCTGATGGGAGAGTCGGACTTCGGAGATGAGTATGTGCTGCTACAAAGAAGCAGAATGTTAGGATAACTTCATACTAATATAACAAAAAATAAGCTATATTGCACCATTTGTTGTTTTATCATGAAAATGTACCTTTTTGAGTAGGAGGATGTCCTGCTGGAGGGGAGGGTGCTGGTTAAAGAGATGCATTGTTAAGCAACAGTTTGGTTAAAATGACTCAAAGTGCCTGAACATAAATAAAGGATTTCAGCACAAATTAACAGGCACTGTGTGTCTGCAGAGGAAAACAACTATAAATGAGTATAAATACGGTACTAACCTGCTGCTCGTCTTATCCTGACTTCCGGTAAATCTACAATGACAGAATCACAATCAAAGCTATTTTCTGTTGTTTTATGTTTTTCAAAAACAACTGCTAACATGACGTTTATTTAAAATCTACAAACATTTGAAAATTGTTCAAATAAATGTTTTGTTAATACTGTACCTCTTGCTGAGCGACTGCACAGATGTTGAAGTTTTTGTAGTTGTGGTGGTTTTTACTTCCTCACCCCCTGGACTGTGAGCAAAGGACAATGAAGGATGTAAATAGACTAAGGGCTCATTTTTACATTACACCCAGTTGCTGTGTGTGCGACCCTTATTGAGTAAATATTGAAATGTTCTTTTACCCCACAGAAGTCTCATCGGTTTTGACCTGGCTTAGAACAGTTTTGCCAAAGTTTGGATCTCGGCTGAAGGAGGGAAAAAAAGATCACAAGTTAATTCATTTATACTACCAGAGGTGACTCGTCACTGTGTCTTGCAAAAGGAATGTAGAAAGAGGTTTGTTTTTGTAGACAAAGGTAGACTTGAACTACCAGTCACACCCAACAGCTATGGCATTGTGTGGGTTTGCCAGTTTGGAATATTTGATTTGTTCACTATGTTTTTATGACTCACTCGACAGCTTCATCCTCATCGTCCACTTTTCTGATCCAGCTGTTGTCTTTCAGCAGAGAGGCTGAAAACAAAAAAGACTTGAGTGTCTCCAACTCACATTTTCAAGGAAGTTAGACATATTTTGAGCAGGTAAAAACTGAAATTAATACGAAACTGCCTATTAGTGAAGCTCATACTGTATTCTTTTTTGACAATGTACACATAATATTACACTCAGGTGGCTTTGAACGTACTGTTTCCTGGAGATACTTCAGAAACTGATGATGATGAGGCTGATACAAAATACATATGCAATGTGTTTTAAAGTGTTTCAGAATTGTCTTGCATTGGAATCGACAGAAAGTATGACATGTAATTAGTATTTGAATAAAGAAAAAACTATTGCCAATGATTCGCATTTGGAGTAAAATCCACAATTAAAGTATTTTTTTGTGTTTGAAATATAATTTGGTTGTGAATGGGTTCATCATTGTTCTTCATTGTCAGGCCTTTCAGTTCAGCGTCAAGAATATGTTGATATTTGGCATTTTCTTTCATCTCCTATACTGTTTTTAATCAATCTTCATATATTTTATTTTATTTAATTATATGACATTTATTTTTATCCTGTGCATTAGTCTAGAGTTACGTTTACTGTCTAATTATCAGCGTGTTCAGTCATCAGTAATGCACTTTGACTTACATTACATATATAAAGGGCTACTAAATACTCAATAAGATTAAAAACATTTATTTTTCAATATTTAAAAAACAGGCGTATTACTCTTATGGCTGTGATTAAAGATGAATGTGCAATAAATAATAACAATAAAAAGAAAATGTGAAATAAGAAATAAAGAAAAATATATTACGGATGAAATAAATCAATTTGAATACAATTAATAAATAGGTATTACAGTTGTAGAAGAGTTGGATTAACATAATTTGACAAATGTAACCTTTGGATATTGACATTACAATGTGTTTTTTAGTTTTCTGTATTTTCTGTATTTATATTTCTTAATACTTACGCGTCTTGTATGCTGAATACGTGCTCATTTTGTAACCTGTGTGTGAAAAAACAAGGAAATTCATCACATAATGAAACCACAGAGTACATTGGCCACTAGATGGTACTGTGGAATAACGTCTGACCTGAGATCACTACATGAATTTAACAATCAAAGCTATTACTTATGTCATTGTTCTCCTTATGTGCACTTTCTCATGGCATACAGGGTTTCTCACCATGCCTGACGTATTTCGGTTTTGCTCAACCCTAAACTCACTGATTGAGCCCCAAACTGGTTTGTCTTGATCTGTGTCCACCTGCCCTTCATACACAACCTTTTCAAACACACTGTTGTCGGCAAAACAGATGGGCGTACCAGTATCATGCCATTAGCTATTCATGATAAGATCATGCCCTTTCAACTTAATGCACTACATAGCACAAACAAATCCATATCAGGAACAATTAGGCAGATATCCAGGGTGGTTATATTCGTAAATGCACCATATGTTCTGATTATAAGTTGCTCTGTCAAATTAGTGCTATTTGCCTTTAAAAAAATATGTTTGGCGTAGGGTTTGTCCATATTACTTGAAGTTGTTTGAAAGATCCATATCACAGATGTCTTGCATTTCAGAGCTAAAAAACAGAACTGTTTACTTTGAGTTGTCTTTAAACGTTCTGTACTATTGAGAATAAACTGTAAAACATATTATGATTGATAAAGTGGAATCCTTTACATATAAGCCTTTTATTGAGAATTGTGAAGCTGAAAAACATTGTTCTTGAGGATTACAGTAACTATCAAAAATGTACTGTCAATAACACACTGGTACTTAAATTACTTTTTTAGTGTATTTCTACAAGATGCTTTAAATATTTTTGCCCCTATAAAATATGACTGCTATACTGTTACTATATAATAGTGTGTAGCAGATCTGATACAATATCTCAAAGTAGTTTCGTAGCGTTGACTGAAAGCTCTGTCAAGACTGAACATGTCTGTGCCAAATCTACAGGTTAGTCGGAAAAATATGCACATCATTAATGTTTGCTGAGCACCATCACTTTTCTCTGTAAACGTTTGATCTCTAGCAAAAACAGCTAACATAAATTCAATAAAAGAGTGTGTATGTGTGTGTGCGATGTGTCCCTATAATGAGTTAATATACTTAAAGTCACTTAAAAAGTACATCATTACATAGTTTACAATATGTTTTCTGCTTCTATTTTCCAGGACCATTACACCCTAGTATTAAACATCTGGTCTCACAGAACTCCTAAAACCATTACTTTTTAAGCAATTTCTTTTCCTATGTCTTAAATTTCATTACACAAGAATACTACTGTAAACTGGCAACTGACAAAAGATTATTAAAAGAGACTGGGTACGTACCTTCACTGATGCCTAGTTGGACAGATAAAGTAAACTCTTACTGTATCTCAGCTATAATCACCTGCCTATCACTCGACAGTTTGCACGCCTTGTCATTCCTTGAGCTTTTAACCTTAAGGGAGGAGATTCTGAGGCCACCCAAGGGTGTGGCTTCGGACGACAGTCAAAGAAAACGCTCTCTCTCTCACTCCAGATTTTTCTCTTTCTGTCATCGCCGTTTATACCTTAAAAAATGTGATTGGGTGGAGTGCTGAAGGACTTGAAATTCTACTTAGAATTCGAGGAAGCAGAACTGCAATGTGGGTGTGGAAGTGTGTGCCTCTTTAACCTTCAATAACTTTGATGTGATTTGTAATGTGACTTTACGAGACACCATTAAATAATGTCCTATTTGAAAGATTTGATCTCTATTCACTGTGACATAAAGCAAGAAAAACTATAAAATATATTTATCTAAGGTCTAGATATATGACTTACCTATCCCTTGAACTTTGAACTGAGAACAAAAGGCCCTCGTTTTAATTCGATGTGGGCTGACAATGGACTTTGCACTTTAAAACATGTATGCTACTACAAGTACTGTAAGGAATGGTGGTTTTACTGGGTTAGTATCAGATTATTAGATTCATAATTTATCACTTAGGTTTCGTAGTTGAAGTACTTACACCTTCACATGCTGATTATAAAGGCACACAACTGATGCCGGCACAGGTCTCACATATGCACTGAAACTTTGAATAAAACTTCTATTAAATGTAATGTTTAATTACATCTATTAAAGAAGAGCCCTCTTTTCTGCTATCAAAAGGGAAGTTTACGGGTTATTTAGGGTTACATGTAAGTCCAAAATCATCAGGAGTATAAATAAAACTGAGTGACAATCAGACTGGAACTATAAATGCCATGTTGTCTGTGACAGCGAGTTTTATTATTGGGTGTGCCCTGTTGTGAATGATCAAAAGTATGAAAGGCACATAGCATGCAGAGGTGTGACAACATGATACTGAAGTGAACCCCTCCTAGTCACAGTGACAGAACGAAAGGAATGCAGACTATTGAATGATCGATCTAGGCTAAATGTGAACAGGAAGAGAAAATAGTTAATAGAAAGACATTATCTGAATGAACAAGCATGATTAATGAAAATCACATTGTAAAGTGTTCATAATAAAGACAACCACGCTTATTTTACTCTGAACTGAACTAGCAACATGCTCAGCTAATTTAGGAAATGAAATCAACTCAAAAAAGGTAAACATTCAAAGTCAAATTTTGCAATTTGGTATAATTATCATTAAGAAAATGTTGGAA